GTAATTAATTGCGGATGTTGGATTAAAACGAGTTTCTGATCGTCCTTGAAATAGGCCTTCATTCGATTGACCATAAATTTAAATTCCATTTTATGTGTTTAGCGAAACCTTCGAAAGAAGATATTTCTTAAAAGCCTTTACCGAAGTAGTCCGTTTTTGGGCATTCTTTGTAATGCAGATTGCCGTTTGGGTCCTATTTTTTGATTCGCCTAAACACGGCATCTCATCACCGAACAGAATGGACTTGCATTGCCAAAGTTTGCAATTAGTATATCTAAGATCAGTTAAGAAGACAAAGGTGTGGTCCGCATACCGCATCCAGAATTTTGGTTTTTAGGACTGAAAGATCCGAGTTTCCAGGTCCTATCCGGATTCCCTGCATTTACTCGTAAATCTGCCTATTAAATATGGAGTACTTGCTTAAGCAATATTCTAGTAGTTCCATTACGCGCTTTTTGTGTGGGTTTTCCATATTATTTGTGCTTTTTCTTTTAGTAAGTCGCTGGTGACCCCACCAGCCCCTTCTTTATGGAAAACGACGTCAACGGGTGTCATTATCTCATCGGGGGCTGTTGTGGCGCCTTTGAGTTTTCAAGAAGGTGCATTGGGGAATGTGGCTGTGTTCGGGATCCTCGCAACTGCACAGGCGATCGGCCCCTAAGTGCCCCCCTCCACGTTCTGTATACCGTTTCCGGTATATGAACTCCAGAGGAATTTTTACGCTAATAATTCCGAAACCAAGTACATGTTCGTGGCCGTGGCGTGACTTTTTCTAGTGTCAGGCGCCCGAAATTACGTTGTTATTGCACGCGTCGCTTGCTGCTGCGCGAAGCTGACTTAGCGAAAAGTAATCTTTCGGTCTGCACTTCCAGCCTCATCACAGTATTCACAGGCTCCTTTTTGATATTCCACCACCTCAGGCACCTACTTCATTCCGGTTGGCGTTTTCCTCACCTTCAACGTCTGCGACTACATCGGCCGTGGTCTGGGTGGCCTGCTGAAATGGGTAATTCCTTTTTACTGTTCTATGCTTTGTAACATCTGTTTCTTTCACTTCCTTGGCTAACTTTCGATACAATTAGCGTTCTCCCCTCCCCTCCCCTCCCCCCACCCCATCTCCAATTAGACCTGCATATGCTGAAATCTTTTAGACCACTAATGCTTGAGGAGTAGACTTGTTACGAAACGCATATAGTCCCCTGGGGTTTGCGTAGAGAAAGCCTACGGCAGGCTCTCGAGGTTACTTTAACATGCGCCGGAATTCTCTAGGCAGACTCGGCAGCTCTATCACTACACACGACAAGGGTAACTGTTAGGAGCCGGCCTAGCCGACTCGCTCTCACGCCACGCTATCGATCCTCCCACATGCAGAGCATGTGATGAGGCGCAAACGGCCACCAGGCTTAGGGCTCTACCACACCAGTCGGATGAGTCAGAAAGCCAGTCAAATTGCTACCCACTTAAGGACAATATCTGATTGGTCCGATTGCAGACCGATCTTGTACATGCTCTCACATGTTTGGTTTGCCTTGATAACGTACGCTGTTTGCCTATGGCCATACACTTGCATTCCTTTGTCCTTGTTGTTGAGTTCTTCTCTGGGATGATTTAAACGAGGTGTTGTTGGACGGCGAACATCGGGGCTTGTAGCAAAGGTATAACCGTAACCGGATGTGCGGAGCGATGACTCGCACAACACCTACCACGTTCCCTTATTCGCAGATGGACGTGGTAGCTGAGGTCAGGACAGTGCGGTACGTAAAACGCATTTTGTGATCCCTACCTTGCACGATTATTTACCATACTGGCAGCAGCACAGGAACAGGCTAGATTCGCACGTTTCGCCGATATTTAGCCGCTGCGAGGTTTTCGACTCAGCAGTGGTGGGTCCCCCAGCACAGTCGGTTCGTTTGCAATTCAAAAGGACTATTGGCCAGTTTCTTGTAGTGCTGGTTGATAGTCTTCGCTAACTTGGTAGACAGCGCACCATCAGCCCATTGTGTGTTGTCTGTTCAGTGGCTGATGAATGGACTGGGAGTCAGACGGCGAAGACACCTTCTTGTCCCCTGGTTGTGTAAATCCTGGTGTTTGTGTGTTAATACAACCCAGTCGTGCCGTGGAGCGCGCACAAGGGTTCGCC